CATCCTAGAAGCAAATGGCCTCTCAGACCTTTCTGTCCATAAGCCGGTTAAAAATGAATAGATATCCTAGAAGCAAATGGCCTCTCAGACCTTTCTGTCCATATGCCGGTTAAAAATGAATAGACATCCTAGAAGCAAATGGCCTCTCAGACCTTTCTGTCCATAAGCCGGTTAAAAATGAATAGACATCCTAGAAGCAAATGGCCTCTCAGATCTTTCTGTCCATAAGCCGGTTAAAAATGAATAGATATCCTAGAAGCAAATGGCCTCTCAGACCTTTCTGTCCATAAGCCGGTTAAAAATGAATAGATATCCTAGAAGCAAATGGCCTCTCAGACCTTTCTGTCCATAAGCCGGTTAAAAATGAATAGATATCCTAGAAGCAAATGACCTCTCAGACCTTTCTGTCCATAAGCCGGTTAAAAATGAATAGATATCCTAGAAGCAAATGGCCTCTCAGACCTTTCTGTCCATAAGCCGGTTAAAAATGAATAGACATCCTAGAAGCAAATGGCCTCTCAGACCTTTCTGTCCTTAAGCCGGTTAAAAATGAATAGACATCCTAGAAGCAAATGGCCTCTCAGACCTTTCTGTCCATATGCCGGTTAAAAATGAATAGACATCCTAGAAGCAAATGGCCTCTCAGACCTTTTTGTCCATATGCCGGTTAAAAATGAATAGACAAAGGAAAAAGAGCATTTATAACATATTAAAGTTTTATATTTAAATAAAATATATTGGATCAAAATATCATTTATTTTTACCAATATTTCAGTTGGCTGAACGCCAACCTTTATCAATCATATTATAACATTTTAAAGTGATATAATGTTATAATACCTTGATAAAGGTTGGCGTTCATCCAACTGAAAAATAAATGATATTTTGATCCAATATATGCCTTTTGTTTAAATATTTATTAATGGATTGCTCTATTTTCAAAAAGTTTTATATAGGTTAAGACATACCTGAAAGACACCATTCAATGAATCCACCATCAGCGGCAATAACAACTTCTATACGCTGTTGAAACCGACTGCAGGCAGTAATGAGATGGGTCTTGGAAATGTTTGTCATTGTATCCACTATAGCAGGTCTGAGAGCTGTGTTGTGCGAATGACTATTGGAGTCCCTCTCAACTACGCCCCACATGTAATAGTCCAGCGGATTGACATCTGATGAACTGAGGGCCAAACGTTAGGTGTGACATGTTCGTGAAGATTCTCGGCCATCCATTCTTGGGTTGTCCTGGCTGTATGAGATGGTGCTGAGTCTTGTTGAAAAACATACGACCTCCCACGTGCTACAGTAGCGATCCAAGGCTTGACAATTGTGGCTAACACATCGGTGTAAGCAACGGAATTGACTCTGGCACCTGGAGTAACAAAGATATGGAGGCATCACATCACCTTCACTACTAACAACATCAAGAATCATCAATGATGTTGGTAAGATGTTCTCATTAGGGCTTTTACACAACCACCGATCATTTTTGAGGTTCACCCTCTTGGCTCTGAACAAAGTTCTTCTCGTCTGAGAAAAACCAGATCATTCCTGGCTCCTCGGGATATTTGAGCTTGTTCAAAAGGCGCTTGGCTCTGGTCAAGCAGTTCACCTCGGTTCTTTCGGACATGAGCTGTCCTCTCCGCATCACGTATGGTTTGTAATGTAGGTCCTCATGAACCACACGTCGGATGGTAGCTTCATCAACCTGCAGCATCTGGCGAGTGCTCTCATCACCCTCCAAGGGGCCTCATCGATGGCAGTTTGGACATGGTTTATAAAGTCAGGCGTCCTGATACTGTCAGAACGTCGACAATGTCGTTTTCTTCAGGAAACTTCCGCCACATCAACCTTTGCCGGTCCAAATTCTCTCCGAACTTTGAGACAAATGATCGGGCGACTTTAAAGAATTCCTCAGTTTCTGAATCGGTATGTTCTGCAGCCAAGGAAACAATAACTGTATGCCTCTTCATTTCTTGTGTAAGAGTAGGTTCTGCCATGTCTACCTGCAACAGAAAAAACTATGTTACTATAACACACAGGAAAGTGTGGCACCTACACTGGTGTCCAAAAAATAAGAAACTTAACCAATATTGAAATTTCTCAAAAGCTAATTTATTAACAAATATAAAATTTAGTATACAAATAGTTTAAACTATGGAGAATTTGACTAGCTATATGAAAATTAAAAAATATTTTGAAATTATGAAATATGCAAATTATTGCCAACATACCCAAAGCTAAGGTTCCAGATCTTAAAGAAATAAGATATCAATAGGGAGTATGATCACCTCTAACAGCTATCAAGGTCTCACAGCGAGCCCTGATACTGTTTACCAGGCTTTGGAGGAAGTCCAGGGGTAGTAAACCCCACTCCTCCAATAGAGCAGTTCTTAGCTCAACAAGGGTTCTGGGAGAGAGGTGACGAGCTCCAATACGCCTCCCTAGAGCATCCCACACATGCTCTATTGGATTCAGGTCCGGAGATCTGGCTGGCCAATCCATCCTTCGAATATTCTCACTTTGGAGATATTCATTGACTAGCCTAGCCCTATGCGGACGAGCATTATCGTCCATAAAAATTAAATTGTGACCAATTTGATCTCTATAAGGTCTTAGATAGGGCTCAAGGATCTCGTCCCTGTACCTTTGGGCAGGTAAAGTGCCCCCAGAAAAAATGTGGAGGGGTGTGCGTCTGCTAGAACTGATGCCAGCCCAGACTAAGAGACTGCCCCCTCTAAAACTGTCTATTTCCCTGATGTTACTGGAATGATAGAGGGTTCCAGGCTCCCTCCAGATGAAAATTCGTCGAGAAACTGTGTTTAAACTAAATCTTGACTCGTCACTGAAGAGAACATTGGCCCACTGATCATGAGTCCAGGCGTGATGTTCCAAGCACCAATTCAAGCGGGCTCTCCTGTGAGCAGAGGTTAAAGGGATACAGACCATTGGTCGTCTTGCATAAAGAGCACCTTCGTGAAGCCTTCGGTAAACAGTTTGTCTTGAAATTCTCGTTACAGTAGCACTTGAGAGTTCATTAGAGAGTTGAATAGCTGTCATCTCCCTATGGCGCTTGGCAGTTACGACCAGATAACGGTCTTCAGAGGTAGCTGTTTTTCTTTTTCTACCAGAACCTTCTTTTCTTTTGATGGTTCCTGTCTCAATGAACTGTTTCCATATTTTGCTGACCACAGATTTATTCACATTTAGCCATTTTGCTACTTCAACTTGTGATTGCCCTGTCTCCATTCTTCCAACAGCTCTCCATTTTAAATCATCTGCTAAAATTTTTCGTAAACTCATAATTAACTAAGGATTAAATTAAAATATAATCGGACAATTCTTTGATGGGGTAAACGACACGCCAAATAGCACACTTATAAAGACAAGCAAAAATTTGCATATTTTCAATTTACCGAATCGAATGGTTGCGATAAATAAATTATACGACTTAAAATACCTAATAAAATTACTTTTTAGCTTTTAACGTTGTATATTTTAAAACATATCATTAAAAAACAAAAGTTTCTTATTTTTTGGACACCAGTGTATATTGTGTGTTATCAGATATCTGCCGCAACCTGTGTATCTGGATTCAGACAATAACTCTGAAAGATATTACAGTGTACCTTTATTAAAGACACGAATGTGAACAGAATTGCCTCCGTCTCCTTCAAAAAAATAAATAAATAAATAAAATACGAGCGGCGATATTAAAGTCTTTAGACTTTCCACTTCCTTAAGTTTCGTCTAAGAGTGTGTGTAACTCAAGAATGAAAATTTACTATTTAGACAAATAAATAAAATAAAATAATTATTAATATACCACGTATAGAGAAAGGACAAACGGGAAATAAACATAATAATTTCTTACTTGAGTTATAAATAGTTTCAAAAGGTGTTCATAGATGGCGATAGGTGTCTTGTCAAAGAAATCCTTCCTTCTGTACCACTTAACTCATAACTTTTAGTTTTCAATAATCGTTAATGATGGTATTATTATACAAGGTTATCCCAAAAGTTCGTAAACACTTGCAAAAAAATTGAAATACTAATATTATTCGCCGTTATGTATAATGTCTTTGTATTATGTATAAAGTAATTGTATTGTGTATTATTATTATGAAAAAAGGCATCTCCTTATCGTGCAACTAATGTTGGCCCTAATCAGCGTGGTGCAAGCTGTACCTCAACGACCAAAAAATTGGTCATTCAGGCATCCTGAAAAATCATGAGGCGGGTAGTTAAGGCCAGAAAATGTATTATTATGTATTCTCCGTAATAATAATATTCGCCAAGTAATAAGAAAAAACAACGTTTTAATAAAAACACAAACTTTTGGAACAACCTTATAAAAAAATACAAGTAGTCATTAAAGCGATAACCTGAACATTCCTTTCCGTTTCCAATCTTGCTGAGTCATCTCCTCAAATGCCGGTCATTGGGTCCATGCCGAGGGAGACTCCAGGCTCATCCAGTTAAGACGTCGGTATAAAAAGTTAATTCCTTGAACTGCCTTTTCTCATCTTTCACTTCCAAAACTTATGCTTCTACTGGATAGTCAGTTTAAAGCCCATATAAGATCTACCATTATTCTTCACAATTCATCCTTTCATACTTCATCCCTAAGGTTAGAAATAATCGTTATTTCTCCTCAGAATAAATTTCGATTTTTCCTTCAAAAGAAACACATGCGGGATATTTTCAAATGTCGTTATATATACAATCATAAGCCGCATTATATTGTATTGTCTGAATTGTTAATAGAATATCTAAAGAGAACCAAGAGCTCTCAGTATATAGTCAAAATGAAGATGTATTACAATACACTATAATGCGGCTTATGATTGTAGAACGACATTTGAAAATTATCCCGCATGTGTTTCTTTTGAACGAAAAATCGAAATTAATTTTAAGGAGAAATAACGATTATTTCTAACCTTAGGGATGAAGTATGAAAGGATGAATTGTGAAGAGTAATGATAAACGGAAAAAAAGTGTCCAGGGATGGGAATCGAACCCACAGTGTTCCGCTTACCGGGCAGATGCCATGTCCACTAGGCTACTATGTATTGCAATGACGAAGCTAAAATGACTTTAAGACGACCTGACAATCAAGACGCTAAAGACATCTTGAGAAGGAAGACACCAAGACCGCGTCAGGGGCTTGGCGTTTTGCAAGTTGGATGCTCTAGGTCTTATAATGAATTTGTATAGATTATCAATATTGATATGAATCTACACTCATGGACAGAATTTAAGGAAGTTGTACCTTTTACCATGTATATCTCACACACACACAAAGCCTTTATTAGGGACATGCCCCATACAGATTCTCCCAATTGGGTAAGGTAATAATCATCTTGTGTTATTTACATAGGTAGTAAGATGGAAATTTTGAACTGGCTTTACTCTTCGTCTCAAAGTCATTCACTTGTTGACTGGTCCTTACATAATGATGATCTAAAATGTATAGTAAGCTATTGCCTTAGATTTATTTGCTGATATTTTTGAAAGCAATACGTAGGGTGAAATGTTGGTACATTTAATTTGCTGATATAGGGCCTTCCTTTCTTCATCAAGGGCTGTACAATTAAGCAGGTAATGGGGGAGTTCTTCAGTAGATTCCTTGTCACACAGTGTACATATTAGGTTTATGGCCTCAAACGTCAGAACGTGGTTTTTTTTTACCATGTAATCGAGATTCAGACAATAACTCTGAAAGATATTTGATACACAGTGATTTTTTTAAAAGACACACAAAATAACCAAGTGTGAACAAAATTGTCTCTGTCTCCTCAAGAAAAACTAAAATATAACAGACGACAGGGGGTCATCAAAATGGAAACTTCCTTAAGTTTTGTCCATGAGTATATTTCTAACTCCACTCTATATTGTAACTAAATTATTGCCCATGTGAGAGAATGTACTCACATAAATATAATCATTGAAATATATATAATTTTAAAAAATACCGATGTTTTAAAAATCATTCCATAGAAACTTAAAAAAAAAAAAAAAAAAAGAAAAACGAAGATAAAAAAGAAAAAGAAAGGACTCTCTAAAATTCAGGAATTTTATAAATAGTTTAAAAACCTATCAATAGATGGCGTTGGTATACTTATTCAGTTTGTTTGGTCTTGAGTAGGTTTTGGTCTCCTGAGTGGAAACATATTTCTCTATCTTTAGTTTTTCTCTTTATCTCTTTATATATTCTCATCCAGTTCAATCTTTCTTTTCAGGAATTCTCTTTCCACTCATTTTATCTTCAAAAATTTCTTCATCAATCCTTTACTTTCAACCAGTGTCCCATCTAATTCTTCAATATTTTTCTGATCTATATTCAACAGTTCTTACAATATACAACAACAACAAAAAAGCCTTTATTTAGGGCCACTGACCCTATACAGGATTCACCAGAGGTATGCATAAGAACAAAGCAGTGAGACTAAGGAAATAACGATATATACAGAGTAAAAAGAGAAAGAGAAAAAAAAAATTCTTACAATATAAACAAACACACATACAACTTTATTAAGACCACCGGTCTTATACAGATTCACCGCAGGAAGGAAGCATAGAAACTCCGCCATTGCCGGTCCCAAGTCCGGATGTAAAAGGAGGAGGGGGAGCAGTAACATGCTCGTTAAGGGTTCAGTTGGCCCGACTGATAGTACCCTGTAAGGGCTCCTATCCTTGGGTTACAGGATAATCTGCAGCATCTGTTCTCCATGTTAGGAGCGGCTGCACAAGGCGTCTGTTCCTCATGTTAGAGGCGGCCATTTAATACCAGGTCAAAGTCCAAGTTACACCTCTCTGTAGGTGACCTCGGGGAAATGCTGGATAAAACCAGTGCTATAACGTAACTGGCATATAACCTATATGGAGTCGTGAGGATAAGTGAAAAAAAAAAGGAAGCATAGATGGAGCCCCTATACCCTAGACAGCACAGAACCCAACAACAACCTCCAGGTCCGACGCAATTACATTCCATAATGAAAAATATAAATAAAAAGAAAGCAAATATCAGGTTGTCCCATAAATAATGGCCGTTTGGAAGCGACCAATCAAATACACCATATCTAAGCCAACAATGAGTTTATTTAAACAAAAAAGTTCTTCAAATAAAATACACTTCAGCCAAAGTAAATCTTTTTATTGTCTCGACGTTTCGACAAAAATTAGAAATTAGTAGTTAGAAATTATTCTCTATTAAGCTAAGTCGGCCTGCCACTGAGTAGTGCTCCCAGTCTTAATGACAAAGGCAGACGCATTCTACTTCACCCAGTCATGATGGTTGTCAAGTCTCAATCTCTACAAGCTTGATACTCTAATATGATTGAGTGGAGATAAAAAAGAAGAAGAAGATTCTCTTTTTATTTCTAACATTTTTCCAAATGTTTTAATTTTTGTTCGCTCCTAACGAGGACAAGAGATTTTTGTCGAAACGTCGAGACAAAAAGATTTACTGGCCGAAGTATCTGTTAGTTGAAGAACTATGAATGCCGGCCAGGCAGCCTCTATCTTTACGTTAAACAAAATAGGCACCATTAGAATCACAGCACTTATGTCAACGTGATGATAACATTTTTATGCCATTTTCATAAAAGTCGGATGTCTTGAGCCAAAAAATACATTTTTACATATAATATAAAGTTTCGGGAGGATGATATTCATGTTCCAAAAGGAGCACCTCTCCCATTAAAATGTTGTTACATGAATATTACCCTTCCATAACTTTATGTTGCAAAAAAAAAAAAAAAAAAAAACAGTGGTCGAGTGGGTAACATCCTCGATTCCCGACAGTCATGAACCGGGATTGAATACCGCGTTAAAATTTGTTTAATATGTGAATAACCTTCACATATTATTCATTGTTTCAATTATCATGAACTAGGTTGCTCTTTAGAAAGAGGGAATCATATATCGCCGCAACTCTTTTTTATTAACGCGATTAAGGAAGCTTTCGGGCAAGCCCTTCTTCAGCTAACTATAGTGTACAAACAAGGAGAGATTATATATCGTTTTTAATATAAAATAAAATAAAAGAAAAAAAAATTACCACGCCCCTATTGTACACTATAGTTAGTTGAAGAAGGGCTTGCCCGAAAGCTTCCTTAATCGCGTTAATAAAAAAGAGTTGCGGCGATATATGATTCCCTCTTTCTAAATTGTCGAAATCCGCAAACCGTTTACCATGAATAGGTTGCTCTTGTTGAGCGGTACCTATTAATGTGATTTTGAACCGAACTTTATGTTGTATTCTGGCCTAAAAATCGGCTCTTGTTACATACTTCATCAGTTGAACACCTTTTTGGTAAATTCGACCGATTTCATTACCTCTCTCATAGGATGTTATGAAATCAAAGCCGTCCCTGTACTGATGAGGGACATAGCCTGAAACCATGTTATACAGGTTGTTGGCTTTTTGTCTGTATTTGACAAAACTGGTGTTGTGGCCCATTCTTTATCATCACTAATAAGGTTTCATTAGGGTGATATACAGTGCATCGTTCTGATGTATATTTAAAGGGAGAGGTACCTCTTTTGGTACCTTCTTACATATTTGCAGAATTAGCCTATAAGAGTTCTCTTCTTCTTCTTTCTTATCTCTACTCAATCATATTACGATATCAAGCTTGTAGAGCTTGAGACTTGACAACCATCATGACTGGGTGAAGTAGAATGCGTCTGTCTTTGTCATTAAGACTGGGAGCACTACTCAGTAGCAGGCCGACTTATTTCCAAAAGAAATGGCCGCCTCTGACATGAGGAACAGGCGCCATGTGCAGCCGCTCCTAACATGGAGTACAAATGCTGCTCATCCTGTGTCCCTGGATTAGGAGCCCTTACAGGGTACTATCAGCCGGTGCCAGCTGAGCCCAGGTTTTTTAGTGAGCTTGTTACTGCTCCCCCTCCTCCTTTTTCATCCGGGCTTGGGACCGGCAAAGGCGGAGTTTAAGGGTTCTCTATCTCTAGAAAGTCCTCCTCTAGGCAGTGAGGAGATCATCATGAAGTCTTCAATCTTCTCCATGTTTAAGAAGAAATTAAAAATACATTTTTATATGCAGATACATGTACGATTACAAAGCTTCATTATCCAGACTTTGCCAGAGTAAGTAAGTAATAAGAGATTCACATATTGTTGCATCCATTTTAATGCGCCCTATATTTATTCAAAATATTCTATGATATTTAATATTTATTTAAAACGGATTATTTAGATTATCATCATTCCTTTTTATAGTTACATTCCTTTTGTAATAATGTTATTGTACATATATCTTGATTGGTTATTGGAACGAGAGACGACCTAGACCAAGACTGCGGATCACGACCTACGAGGAAGACAAAGAATAAATAAACGCAATAACTTTAAAGGTAATTTATTTTTATTTAATTATTTAATTTTTTTTGCTTTATGTATGGAAACCCGCTCGGGAAACGTGTATAACACCAAGAAGGATGAAACCAAGGTCGACGACCCTGCAAAGCTGCAACTTGGTGCAACAATTTGGAGAGATATTTATAGATCGAGAGATGAAGGACTTCATGACCATAAAGATGAACAGATTGATGTAGATGTAAGGAGATGACCAATGCACTCTGCAGGTTAGGGGCCACTGGACGATGGAGCAGGCCCCTGACACAGCTCCAGAACCGGAGACCAGGCAATGCAGAGAGGAAGAGAATGAATTACCACAGTTATCCAAGTAAATATGTACGGTATCTAAGGAACCATAACTGATTTAATGAATCATTCGTGCCTTGCTAGGACATGTACTTAGACATACATGGATTCATACAAAGCAATAACGCGCCATCTATACATATAAAATGAAAGGATTTAAAAAGCACGAGTGTTTCTTTTATAAATAATACAAACTTCTACTATCCTTACTGCGTAGAAAAAAATATATTGGGAGGGCTTGGCTCATCAGTGGTGAACCCTCCCAGCGGTTTCGCCAATTTAATACATGGATTCATCTTTGAGACAAGCAGGAAGATATAGAGAGACAATTGAAACAATTTTATTGTTATCTAGTCAATATCACATTAAAGAAATAA